GATCCACCATTAGCAGATGTTGTCCTCTTTGGGCTTCCCCTCCGGGCTTTAAAACTCGTCCGCTAGGAGAAGGTTTCCACACCCTTATAAATGGTGTTTTGTTCTTCTCTCCGGACATCAACGGGAATACTTCAATCTCATATTGTAACAACTAAACCCACCGCTAGTAGATATTGTCATTTTTAGGCTTTTCGTTTCGAGTTTTCCTTTTAAAACATGTTTAATAGGGAGAAGTTTTCACACATCTATAACAAATATTTCGTTTCTCTCTCCAACCAGTGTAGGATCTCAGAACCTAACATCCTCCACAGCCACATAGCCTGTCTAATTCTGATACCATTAATAGTTGAAGCCCACCGCTAGCAGATATTATCCTCTTTGGACTTTCTCTCTCGAGTTTCCCTTCAAAGTTTTAAAACGCGTCCACTAGGGAAAGATTTCCACACCCTTATAAAACTGTTTCGTTCCCATCTACAATCGACGTGGGATATAAATTTTAACTAAGAACCATATAAAATGCGATTAGACATTTTTTAAAGGTAAAAACCGTAAATCGTGTAGCTGTCCAATCAAACTCGGGTTCGGTACCTCCTACCCTAAACTCAAACTACACTTGAATAGATGCCTTAAAACAAGAACTTGGTCGGGTAAGGAGAAAAAATGTGGAGGGACAAGTAGCCGACCAAAAGTGGAGATTTGAATACATTGGTTTGATAAGTGTGCAAACATATTAATGTTCCATTGGCCACTTTTTCAAAACTCCCTATAAAAAAATTTCATTTTCTCGTTAAATTATGCGTTAATTGTTACACGTGTTCGTGGATTGAATTAAATCGGGCTGGTTTCAGACATTTTTCAAATTTAATCTAATTGCTCGGGTTGTAAATTTTTTTTCAACCCAAATAGCCCTCGTTAAATAATGAACTCAACTCAACCCAAATAATCATTTATTTAAATTTGTTATTTTTAATACAACTCAAACGTTAGTTTATAAAATATCTATTTATTCATTTTCGAACATTTATTTAAAAAATTATTTTTAAGAATTGTGGGAGAATAAATAATAAAAATGATAAAAATTAAATAAAAATATATTTTTTAAAAAATTAATAAATTTCGGTTTATTTGAGCCTAACCCAACCTAAATAAACTCGTAACCAAATTCAAACAGTACGAATTGAGTTGAATTGATCGAGTTTTTCAGATCATCGAGTTTTTTAAACACCAAATTCCATTTATGACGTTATTCCCTATAATTTTCATTTCAAACCCTACTTCCATTGAAATCAGCGACTTTCTCATAATCAAAAGTAGATAAGAGAGTATTAACTTATCTAGGTTAAGCTATGACTTCGTAGGGTTCTAGGTTTTGATTTTTCTTTCTTTTTTGGTTTTGGCGTAGTTCAACAAATAGTAATAAAGATCTCAATCTCGGGTCATAAGAATCCAGTGATGTTTGAATTTTTAGAATCCAACGAATTTAATTTTTTGAATTTTTAAAGTTGTGTCTAATAAATTCTTAATTTTTTTAATTTTGTTATTAAGAGGATATTTTGCCGTGATAATTAGTTAGAATATATCTTAGATATTTAGGAAGTTGTTAGTATAGATTTGATTAACCGTATATTTTATTTATTTACCAGATTTAATTAGATATATATTTTTCTATTTTTAGGTATTAGTTGATAGTTTGTATCCTATTTAAACGTGGTAAACCTTAATGAAGATCATACTTTCGATCCCAATTCTATTTCTATTTCTCATTCTTAACATTTGTATCTAGTAAGCTTTGTCCACCAGATATTTTTCGATAAAAATTATGGATCTATTGAACATAAAACTGAAAGGTCTTTAGGGTGTTTTGTGTCAAATACACGTTGTTTGATAACGTAATTATCCACTGTGGTCATCGAAACGAGTAGTTGAGGCCACAAATGATCGTTCATGGCTTTTGGGAACTGATAACAGGCGTACGGAGTGGTTGATTAAAGTTTTTACGTGTCTAGTGGTTCGATATTAATACCAAGATAATAGCATTATGAAAACTATTGGGCCAGCCACAATTAGTGTAGTCGGGTTCATCATATTCAATTGTAACACAACTTCGATTTCGATTAAAATGGGCCTAAGTTAGCCTTTTTTTTACCTTTCCAATTTCGTTGCTGAGCGGTTCTAATCATAATGGGTCTTTTTTTTTTAATCAAAATTCGACATAAATTTAAAAGGGATAGAACGGAAATTCAAAAGTTGTCCTTTTTTTTAGTTCAACAATTGAGAAAGAACTATGAATCTTTGAGACAATAATTTGTGTCTTATCCATTTAGATATACTCAAATTGACTAAATTTTTCTCATTTTGAACTGGTACGAAAATGCTTGCTACCTAGTGTACTGGATCTTCGACCAGGTATTCTCACTTGTTGAATCGGAACCAACCACCCTACTCTAAGAATAGGAGAAAGGAAAACGCTTTGAACAATGGACGACCACTAGCCTTCACGAGTTGGTCAGAAGTCAGTCTTGTTTGGTAAGACGATATATATCTCGTAGCTATATAAGCATAAATTACTATACTTATATAAATAAATTATTAGTGTGTCAAGATATCAATAAATTAATAGTAAAAATCAATGATCTAACAGACTATAATTTATTGTGTATTTAATGTATAGTAAATGACACAAAATTATTGAGAAATATTTTATGGTCCAATAATTCAATTGACCTATAAAAGCTACTAAATTAACTTCTTCTTCTTTTTCTTGTTTTTTTACTAACCCGATCGAGTTGGGTTTGAAAAATATTTTCAACTGACTCGAAATGTCAAGTTAGTTGGGTTGGTGATCTGAGCAACTCGAATGAGTTCCACAGCTCAACCCAACCCTCTATTTCAGATCAGATTATTTTTAAAAAAAATCTTAATTATCCACTAAATTTGTTACATTAATAACTAAAATCTCATAAAAAAATATTTACAAGTCACAGCACATCACTGACCTTAATTACAAGGGTCAAATATTCTTAAATTTTCATAATAATCTTAAAAGCAGGATTGTATTGTAACCGTATTTTCGGGTTGGTTAGATTGGTCAGGTTTATTCAAGCAAAAAAAAAAAAAAAAAGTCAATTCATGAACTTTTTCAAATTTAACTCATTCCAATATTTATTGTTTAGTATGGCAGTTTAAGTTGGTCGGATTCTCGAGTCATTTGAACACCTCTAATACTTTTCAAAGAAAACTAGCTAAATGTCTTCTCTTAAACCCCTTTTTAAGTGTTTTTTTTTAAATAATAGTTAAATTCAAATGCATGTGAATATAGAAGAGAATAGATGAGATCAAATTATTTTTTAAAAAATAATTGAATAAAATAATTCAAATGGTTCATATTAAATGATTTATTACGCTTCATTAAATGGTTTGCAATTATATTTTACTCAAAGCTTTCTAATATATGGATCATAAAGGGTGGGGTTTTTTTTTAATTAATTAATGTTATTTAGTTTCTTCCATTTTTATCTTTTAATATTTTGATTTTCTTAAAAAAAAAATATATATATATTCTACCTCGATCAAAAGTTCAAGATATAATTTTTAAATTTTTCGTTGATCTAATTACTCTTTCTTATAACTACCTGACCTTTCTCAGTGCAGTCGAGATTGAGAGTTCATATCTAGTAAGAAGCTCTTCATTAAGGTAAAATATATAAATTACTCGAGATTTTTTACTTTTTTTCTTTTCTTAGTACTATAAATTTTAAAAAGTTTGGTTTGAATTTAGCACTCAAAATAACTTGAAAACTAGAATCTCAATTCAAACTAAGCTTTGAACAAAACATGATTCCACCTGGAAAGAAATATGAATTCGAATTCAAAAGACGATGAACTATACGTATACAGATACAGATACGTAGTTTGTGAATAGGAAGCTATTAGACACACAAAACGGAGTGATGAAAGACTCCAAATTTTCAAAAGCATGTTGGAAAAGCACCAAAAACTTTGAATGGAACAAAACAAAAGGCATTGGATGGCCACATTGGCATCCAAAACGAGATAGTCCATGTGCATCATCTCTGTGTCTGTCTTTCTATGCTACACTTTCTTTGCCACCAACACACTCAGACAAACTCATTCTGTCTTCCTCAATGGAGTGCTTTCAACTCAAAAATTCTCATTCAAACCCCAAGAAATGACCATTCACTAACAGGCTGAACGGAGAGAAAGTTGGATATCTCGGGTCCAACAAAAAACCGTTAGTATGTGTAACAGTTAAGGTACACCGCTAACAGATATTGTCCTCTTTGGGCTTTCCCTCAAAGTTTATAAAGCGCGTCTGCCAAGGAGAGGTTCCCACACCCTTATAAAAAATATTTCATTCCCCAACCGATGTGGGATCTCACAATCCACCTCTCCTTCGACGCCCAGCATCCTTGCTGGCACACAGCTTCGTGGGGGTTCAATCTCCTTGTTGGCAAATCGCCCAATATGTGGCTCTGATATCATTCATAACAGTCTAAACCCACCACTAGTAAATATTGTTCTCTTTGAACTTTTCCATTCGGACTTCCCCTCAAAATTTTTAAAACGCGTATGCTAAGAAGAGGTTTCTACACACTTATCAAAACGGTGGTAAAAAAAGGGGAGAGAGCTACCGATCCATGCCGGTACAAAAGGTAGGGACCTCCCCCACACACCTCCCTCCCATGCACACAAAACAAAGCACATCACAAACAATAACAACATATATATGTGTTGGGTTGATGCCATTATACCATGTCAGTGCCCCATGTGATACCCTTTGAGTGTGGGCCTCAACAACAACAGTGCGAGACAAAACAGTCCTCTAAAGCTAAAAACTTTCACAAACCAAATCAAAATCCATTTTTGTCCTTGTTTTGTCAATTTCAATTCAACCCATCATCAAATTATGATATTATATCTAGAGGAGGAAAAGAACAGAGTAAAGCAAGTAGCTCTTTGGTCCCAATGAGTGTCCGCTACAACAAATTTCTCAAGTCTTCTTATATCCACTAAGAACCCTACTACTATATACACAACAGGCTCTTGTGAGCTTTCACAGAAACTTCAAACTCTACCTAACTATGAATAATGCAAGGAACAAACAGAAGAACTTATGTGTAGATGCAAAATGTAAAACGGAGTTAACCCGACCCGACGACCGTAGTTCTTTAGTCAGCATGGTCCAGCACAACATAATAATAATAATAAACACAGAAGACCCTAACTCAACTCTCATAAACCAAATCATCTGTCCTAAATGTATGAATTTATATATGTATTTGCTGTTAGGAGTATGTAAAATTGATGAAGATGATACTTGTGGAGATCTTCTCTCTATAGTAGTAATAGATCTACTCTTCGAAGTAGGTATAATTTCGCTATACATCCGGGGGATGATTCTTCTGCCTGCTATAAGCTTTTCTAATTTTTTTTCTGCGTAGATAAAATACGAACACCGTTAGCAGTTTTCATTTGAGAGAACTCGAAACATAACACCCTGAAAGTAATAGAAAATCGAGGAGGCAGAGATCGGTGAAATCTTACCCTAACATTGTTGATATTTGCTGGCCATGCTCTTGTAGTTATTGCCTATATTTTAAAAGATTCACACAAGGAATAGAAACCTAAGGAAAGTAATGTATCTTACTTTGAATAACTGACTTCTAAAATTAGCATGATGGAAAGTGAGGTACCACAAGGAAGAGGATAACAGGACCTTGCCATTCAGCTGTGGGGTAAAAGGTTAATTAAGGGGCAGCTATGTCACCAGCAAGACCGGTAGCCAGTGATGCATTGCTCTGAGACGATGACGGTAATGTATTGGGACCAAACCCGTCCGCTTTAACAGAAGAAAAGTCGGGATGTTGGCTCGATGCAGATTTTTTAGGAGAAGCAAATGGGCTATCAGGAAGGACCTGCTCAACACTGACCTCATGGCCAAAGTAAATGATAGAGAAGAATATGGTTAATACAATGTATGACAAAAATAATCTCGTGCTTATGATGTTTTAATTAGACCTTTTGTGGATTTCGAGCAGTTTGGAGTTGTAGCCGTCATCCGTGGCTTTGCTTTGGATAAAACAAGGATTCTCTTCCAGCTGAAAGTTTTGCGGCGTGCTCATCGCATTGTTGGTAGTTACTTGGTTATTCTCATGACCTGAAACAGCTCTCATCGGTCAGCTAACAATTGAAAACGTTCGAGCAAAAGAAAGGAGAGAAGACCATGAAGAATCAGCAAACCTTCAGAAGCTTCTTGGTTTATAAAATCAGGAGGATAAATATTCTGATTCATTTGATTATGCGATTCGGTGGATAATGGTGAACAGATAGGTAAATTGTGTGGGTGATGGTGGTGTAGCTGATCGTTCTTCAAGTCGGGAAGCTGGAGATTCAATAGCCTTCTTCCCTGAAGTTCGAGTGCTTGCTGCAACTCAGCTTGCTCTTCTAATTTCCTACGCAACATCATCCCTTGAGTGTTATACATCATTCTTGCTCCTGTAAATCAAATGGTTCATATGAATAACCCATTAGAGACATATGGTTTCTTTGGCTGTCGAATTTGGGGGAAAGGGGCCTGCCTAGTTATTTCATACCGAGGTTTAGGTCGTAAGGATCCCGAGCGTCCAGTCCAGAGGGGCTCAAACAAGGAGAAAAGTCTCCCCTCTCGAGTTGCGGTTGTTGATGCTGCTGCCTCCTACATTCCATCCCAACTATAAACCTCACTTTTAAAGGTAGAAAGGGAACAATATAGAACATAAAAAAGAGTTGAGGGTAAATTTACTTTTCTGGAACTTTTCCCTTCTCTTTGTATGGTTTCACGAGAACTCGTGATTCGCATATGAAATGTGGGTTCCCCTTTGCCAATATATGTTTTACTGTTTCTGGATAGACAAACGTAACGAACCCGAACATCCTCTTCTGTTGGTACGGAATCCTAACATCTTGCACAGGTCCAAATTTGCTGCAAAAAGGTAAGACATGAGAGTTCATCAATCACTGATCGCTTACAATTTGCTTCAATGTAGATTATGGCCAGTCGGTTTACAATCAAGCAAATCAAATCGACAAAAACCCGTACCAACTAAACTAAGATAAATTCATATATGATGTAGCGAAAAGTGCAGCTTTGTTTCTGAGACGTACTCCTGAGTATTCTATAAAACTGAACGTATAAATATTGTATCTTTTACTCATAATACGTCGTCAAAGTAAATGTTTGAATGAAGACCACAATTATGCAAGTATTCGCACGAGATACGTAGGTGCATAAACAAACAAACGCATACACGGAACATTTTTCCTATCTCGTTCAGTGTTTGTGTTGCATAGTGTTCAGACTTCTTCAGTATGTACTCAGGTTTCTTTTCTTCTTTTGTTAGAAAACAGAACAAGAAAAGAAATCTCGTCGAGTTCATAAAAACAACACCTCAAGAAACTCTTATTCTATTGGATTTACTACAAATGAAAATCTAGAATCCAATGAATTCATGTTCAAGCATATATCAAACCATCTAATTACGTTTACATGCATTGAGAAGTAAGCAGATTCGAAGAATCTCGCACCATTCTCGAACCAAAGTTGTAATAGAACAAAGAAGGTTTGAACAGAAGGCAGAGGCATAGAACATGAACGAAGGCTCGATTCCGGTAAACGGGAAATTAAGTGAGAGATAATTATTTGTTAAGAATCAGTACAAAGCGAAAGCAATTGTACTGAAACTTAGGCTTATTTCAATATGCGTTAAAAAACCTCAATGGCCAGCCTCCTTAAAACCCTGAAACGTTTTAATACAGAAAACTATGAATCAGATGCAGGTAATCATCATACTCATATATAAAACAAAAACATTTCAGATCATCATACTCAAAGTTGGAGCGACAATGACACGAACGGTTCATCAGGATATTTTAACTGGTTACCTGAAATACTCTGAAACATCTTCATCCTTGAAGGTGCTATCAGCTGGGAATGTCAAATAAATCTGTCTCGACGCTGAATTTCGCTTCTCAGCAGCCAAAGCCAAGAAATCGTTCCTTTCGTTTCTGGAAATGCCGAACTTTTGATACTCATCTCCCATCATGAGCGCTGCTGCTGTAGCTCTAGATTATCCATTCCAAATAATGAAGAAACATTGCATTACAGACCATTTCCAAGCTAAAATTCCCAAAAAGAAGACAAATATTATGGGATTCATGCACTATATTTGGTTACCTATGAGTTTCATTCTGTTGTTGAAGTAGAAAATTGATGTATTTGTTATACTGAGAAGGTGAAACTCCAGCCATGAACTCAGAAGCAGTGGCTAATCTCTGTTGTTGAGCAGCCTTATATCTCATGAACTCCTCACGTTGATCAAACAAGCCCTCTAGTTTGCTAGGAGACCCAACAATGGCAGCAGAAGGATCAACCAAGTCAGGGAAATCGCCATGCAAGAACTTGCAATTGCTACCATTTTTACAAAACCCTCTAGCAAAGTAAAGACAAGGCTTATACCCAACTCCAAATCCACCATCTTCTGAGCCAAAACAAACATCACTAGCAGAGTAGCTCCTTCTATGAAAAGGGGTCTCAGCATTATCCATAGATTGACTCCAATTCTGCTCACCTCTTGAAGAAGACGACTCGTTTAGAAACGAAAGGTAATCGTTAACTTGCGGCTCTTCACTGACTTCAGAATCTCCAAACCCATTTTTGTGCTGCAAAAATGGAGGCATTGAAAAAGGGGGAGCTCGAATACAGTCATAAGAAAGAAGGGAAGTGGATTTAGGGCTAATGACATTGTTAGTGATTCCTGAAAACGACCAAGAACTTGTTGAGGAAGGAGAAGAAGAAGGGTTTTTAGATTGAGAGAAAGGGTTAGTGTTGGAAGGTCTAGCGATGGGATTAAGAGGCGAAGGCGAAGAGGGCGTTGAAGAAGAAGAAGAAGAAGAGTTCAAAGAAAACCCTAAATGAGCTTTGGCCTTCAAAATCAATGAATGCAAAAGGGTTTCAGGGCCAAAAGCCAAACGAATCAACTCCTTATCGCCAAGGTCTTGAATGAGAAGAAACCCCATGATTTTCGAAGCATTTTCAGGCTCCAAGTTCTTGATCTTCGCATAAACCAAACTACTTGCTTCATATGCATCCATTTTTCTCCTCTGTTTCTTCAAGAAAACACAAACCCAAGAACCCAAATCCTCAAAAACCTTAATGGGTCTTCAAGAAAATCCGTTTTCCCCAAGAAAAACACACAATGGGGTCAGAAATCAGTAGGGTTTTGAAGCATTTAGCGAAGTGGGTTTGCTTAGTAGAGTAAGAGGAGCAGGGAGTGACAGGTTTCTCTCTCTAAACAGGAGAGAGAAAAACGGAATGGCGTAGTGGTGATAGAAGATTACAGATCTACTACTTGAAAGTTAAAAGAGTAATTGTCAAAACAGTATAAATCTTGTCATACGTGTGTATTATATGCACTGCTTGCTCTGTTCTTCCTCTGTATGCAAAATATAACCCTTTATCATACCAAAGAGATTCCAGCGAAGAAGATAGGTCCCAATTCTTTTTTTTTTTTCCTTTTTCTTTTTTCTTTGAGATAATTCTCAAAAAATTGGGGAAAAAAAACCTAATTTTGAAATTGGGTCCCACATTTTCTCTTTCATTTTTGTTTTTTTCCCTTTTTTTTTTTATTTGATGTTTCTTGTTCATCATCATCATTATCTCTAAGTATACTTCATTAAGATGAGACTTATCCATGATTGCAACCAAATCTTCAAACTCAATTCTACTCCAATCCACTTCTCTTCTTATTTTCAACCCTGTGAGATCTGACGTCGGCCAGGAGAAAAACGACGTACTTTATGAAGGGGTAGAAACCTCTCTTTAGTAGAGGTGTTTTGAAATCGTGAGACTGACGGTGCTATGTAATGGATCAAAGCAGACAATATCTACTCGTGGCAGGCTTAGGCTGTTACAGATGATATAAGAGTCAAACATGGTGTGCCCAGTGAAGTCGCTGGGCTCCCTAGAGGTAGATTGTGATATCTCACATTGGTGGAAGAGGGAAATAGAGCACTTTATAAGGGTCAAACATTATCTACCAATATCTACTAACCGAGGGCTCAGGCGGTTACAAATGGTATAAGAGTCAGACACCACGCGGTGTGCCTAATGAAGATGTTGGGCTCACAAGGGGTAGATTGTGAGATCCTATATCGGTTGAGGAGGGAAATGGAGCACTTTATAAGGGTCAGACAATATTTTTCAATATCTACTAACGGTGGGCTTAGGCTGTTACAAATGGTATAAGAGTCAAACACTACGCGGTGTGCCCAGTGAAGATACTGGGCTCCCGAGGGGTAGATTGTGAGATCCTATATTGGTTGAGGAGGGAAATGGAGCACTTTATAAGGGTCAGACAATATTTACCAATATCTACTAACGGAGGGCTTAGGCGGTTACAAATGGTATAAGAGTCAAACACTACGCGGTGTGCCCAGTGAAAGATACTGGGCTCCCGAGAGGTAGATTGTGAGATCTCATATCGGTCGAAGAGGGAAATGGAGCACTTTATAAGAGTGTGAAAACCTCTCCCTAGTAGGCGTATTTTAAAATTGTGAGGTTGACGACGATACGTAATGGGCTAAAGCGGACAATATCGGCTAATGGCGGGCTTAGACTGTTACAAATGGTATCAGAGCCGGACACTGTGCGGTGTGCCTAGCGAAGACGCTGGCCCCCAAGGGAGTAGATTGTGAGATCCCATATCGGTTGAAAAGGAAAACGAATAATTTTATAAAGGTGTGTAAATCTCTCCTTAATAGACGCGTTTTAAAACCGTGAGGTCAACGGCGATACGTAACAGGTCAAAGCTGACAATATTGAGAACGTAGGAATAAAAACGCTACCTTTTGTATTTGAATTTAAAGGTGAATCTAAGAATTGGTCCACTTAGAGTACTAAAATGAAGAATCAAAATCACCATTGGTGGTTGAGATTTGCCAACTTTACTTGAAACCCATTTAATTGTTAATTAATGAATTGCATTAAATGTGTTCCAAATCCAAGGAGAAAATTTTCTATTAACAAAATCACATTTATTTTCGTATCATTCTTTATCCATACTCTACCCGTAACTCAAACGACGTTGGTCGTTAGATCATTGGTCGTCAAACTACATTATTTGCCACGTATCGTGTATTCTAAGTTGTTAATTTTTGTACCTCGTGCCTGTGTTTATGTGTAAATCACGAGAGTGTAAAAATTGATCATATAATTCACGAGCCACTATGATAGGTGGGACTCGACTCCTCCAATGAGGTGTCGATTCTCATCGGTTGAGATAAAATCTCTTAAAACTCTCGAAGTAACTGTAACAGCCCAAGTCCACCGCTAGCAGATATTGTCATTTTTGGGCTTTCCATTCTAGACTCCCCTACAAGATTCTAAAACAGTCTGCTAGGGAGAGGTTTTCACACTCGAATGTTTTGTTCCCCTCTCCAACTTATATGAGATCTCACAATCCACCCTTTTGAGGGCCCAACGTTCTTAATGGCACACCACCTGATGACTGTCTCTATTACAACAACCTTCCTTAATCGAGCTTATAGGGTCTTGGTCTGTACGGTTGTTTCACTTTATTATAGATCTCGGGTTTAATTCTAATTGAAGTTGGATCTTTTTAGTGCGTTTCTCAAATTGAATTATTTATAATTTTTAATATTTAAGAAGTAAAACCATGCAAATTCACAGGTTTTTACTGTCGTGCTTGTAGTAACAACCTTCAGAAAAGTCGTAGAACTCAAGTTGTTACAAGTTACACCCAGTATAGCTATAACACATTAGATGAAGTAATGTCCTCGATCTACCAATGTCGGGAGATAAAAAAAAAACTACAGAAAACCATGAAAAAGAGAGGATGAATTACAGCATGATTAAGTTTCACCATCAGAACCGCTATGCTATGTTTGTCACCACCAAGTTGTCACTATCGTCAAAAAGAGGGCAACCCGTCGATATGAGCTGACTCAACGAGTGAGAAAACTCAATTCCAAAAGCAAGAATTGACAGCTGAAATTGACGGGAGTTATCGAGACGATATTATTCTATTAATCCAATCATTTGGAGTCCATTTTTTTCTCCACGGTTCCAAAATATTAATCTGAAACCGAATCACATCAAATTTTGAAATAGCATATTTTCACAAGTCCCTTTCATACACTCATTATTAAACCATAGAAATTGTACCAAAAAGGTTTGATTGCAAATTTACTATTAAATTGGAGACTCTAATCATTATAAATGCTATGATTTCCTAAATTATCCTTATGATTTAAAATTCAACTAAAATTACAAAATTGTAATTAAAAATACAAATTAATAATAAATATTTTAGAATATTACATAAATGCCCACTTAGTTCCGAAAAAATTTAAAATCACAAATTTAATTTACTCAAAATATTTTTTTATGAAAAAAAAATCAATTTTTTTTCGCGTGTAATAATTTAATTGATATAGGTTAAACTTACGGTGCTCGAGTAAAGGAAAGGTACATGCATGAACCCATACCCGATGGGAATAATTTTAATAATAGAAATTATATTTTAAAAAAATGGTTATTATCACCGAACCAACCAGGTACATTTTCTTTTTTAGTAATTCAATGTTAAGTTACCATTGAAAATATTCCTTCTAAAACAGTAAAAATTGGGTGTAAAAAGGCAAGGTTGGTAATTAATAAATTACCAGCATGGTAAAAAAAGGAATCCAAAGTCCAAAAAGTCTCCTTAAGAATCAGTAAAAAGAAAATGATTTTTAAAGTCTTTTTCTGTTTCCATTTTTGGAAATAATATCATAATATTATCTCGTCTTAAAAGTAAAAAAGGCAGCAAATATTTACCAGCTTGGGTAAGTTTGTGTGACCTATTTGGGTAACTTAGATTTTGTTGTAACCCTAGGTTAAAAAAGTGTCAATTTTTTTTAATTTTATTTTTATTAATCTTTATTAACCTCCGACTCACTGTACATTCAACCCGACAACTCGGACTAATTCAACCCGAGAGGTTGGGTTAAAAACTCTTATTTATTTTCATCTATCATGAAAATTAATAAAATAATAAATAATGAAAATTAATAAATTAATAAATCCATATTTACTTAAAAAGGTTAAATACTCATTTATTTTTATTAAGGTTAAAATATAATTATAATTTATATGATATTGTAAAATAATAATTAAATTAATGCACAAATTTGACACTGATAAGTTATTCATTGTCTTAAAAAATTTCAACTCGAGTATAGGTCAACTAGCTAAGACAAGGTACGTATGTCTTAAAGGTCGGTATTGAATTCTGACCTTATATTTTCTTACAACTTGTGGAGTAAGAGATTCGAAGTCTTAACCGTTTAATCGATAGTATATATTTGATGTTAGTTAAGGTATGTTTTTGTTGATCACGATCCCGACCCAGATGAAACCGGGATAACTAGAAGGGTGTGGTTACGAAGAGAGAGAGAAGGGCATGTTGATAACTAGAAGGCTGACAGAGTTAAGGAGGTGCATTGAAAGCCATGGCTGCTGCAGTTTGTGTAGCAGATATTGCCCCTGTTTCATCTCTAATTATTTCACCACTCCCTTAATTTTGGGGACCCCCTCCCTACGATCGGTTTCTTTCAAACATATCGATCATCGAACGCTTGAATGTTTTTGTTTCGTATTTCGATATTTTTTTTTTTATTGTTGATTTGTTTTTTGTTATATTAGGTACGGACGACTCAGTTACATGTGCTCGACATAACAGTAGAACTACAAAATCCTTTGTGAGGAACTCTAATTATGGTCAATCGAGCTAGTCAGCTTTTATCAACGTAGCTTTGGTGACCCAATCGAATGAATGTAGTCTATCTCAGTTTACAATGATTCATATCCTAATGTGTCAATGTGAGATTCCATATCGATTCGAAGGGGAAACGAAGCATTCTTCATAAGGGTGTGGAAATCTCTCCCTAGAAGACGAGTTTTAAAACCGTGAGGTTGACAGTGATAGGTAACGGGTCAAAATGAATAATATCTGCTACCGATGACTATGGAATGTTATAGTCATGTTAGTAAATATACGAAGGTGTTCGTGAAATGCAATTTGAGCACACTGTCCAATTTTTCTTTATCCTTTGGATAAAATAAGGTCGGGAAAGACAGATACGAACTTCATGAATCAAATGACGTTGTTGTAGCCAAAGAACAAAAGAAAACATACGAACAACATCGAATGTAACGGAGTTGACTTGGTCGTTGTCGAGTGAATTTAAGATGTACAGCCTTTTTCATTGATTTTGCGTTCATAAAAGGGTGGCAGTGTACAATTTTAATTCTTGTCAAATAATTGAGTTTGAACAGCTTCCCTTTTTTCTTCAATTATTGCCTCCAATAATTACATTTCTTTTCAATTCAAATATTGTTTAATATCAAAACTAATATATATATATATA